CCGGACGAAAGGGGGGATTGGGAAAGGGGGGGGGTACGAAATTTACTGCATGCAGCTGGTTTCGGCCTCACCGAGGAGCCCATTCCTCGATACATAGCCGCCTCCGGCGCCCGGAGGCGCCGGGAAAATCAGCTACGTGGGCTGATTCTCAAACCCCCCCTTTGCTATCCCCCCCTTTCGCCCGACCCGAGATTCTACACGTGCAACGTGCACGTTTTTTTTCCATGCAGCGAGTGTATCCCGTTATACTCGGTTAACCTTAACGGTTTTCTCACATCGGAGGCTGTCCACAGGCAGGGACACTATAACGCGAGGGCGACGGCGACGAGGACAACGATTAAGACGAGGACGACAAGGAAACGACGACGACCAGGACGAGCACGAACGAGGAGGGCGCGGGGGACGACGACGACGACGAGGACGTGGACGAGGACGACGACGACGAGAAGGAGGACGAGGAGGATGAGGAGGGGGAGGTTGAGGACGAGGTCGACGACGACGATGAGGAGGACGACGTCGACGACGACGACGACGACCCCGACGACGAGAACGATTTCGACGAGGACGAAAACTTCGACGACGTGGACGACGAGGACGAAGACGAGGGCGAGGACGACGACTACGTGGACGACGACGAGAAGGAGGAGGACGGCATCGACGACGACGAAGACGACAACGACGACGATGACGACGAGGACGGCGACGACGAGGACGACGACGACGACGACGTCGAGGACGACGAGGACGACAACCCCGACGACGAGGACGAGGACGCGGACGTCGACAACGACGACGACCGCGACCACGACGACGACGACGAAGATGAGGACGACGACGACAACGACGACGACGACGACTTGGAGCCAGCTGGGGGTCCGAGGGGGCCAGCATTAATTCCGTGGAGCAGGAAGAGGGCTGCGATATTCGAGGTTCTGGGTGCGAGGGTGTCTTTCATTTATTTCGGTCCGCGGGGGCTGTTTTCGGTCCCTCAGGCAGTGAACGAGCATTCTGGCGCGAACAAGTGCACCGCTTGGACCCCGGAAGAGATCCGGGATTTATTCTCAGCGGATTTGCCCCCACCTCCCGTTTTTGACTGCTTTCCTCGAGGTCCATCCAGTTCAGACCCCACGGCCGCTTCCACCGCCACGCGACGACGGCGGTGACGATATTCCAATACCTCCAGCGTGCTGAAACATCCACGGCTGAGGTTTTGGGCCGTTTTCGGCCCCGACAGGCCCTCGCTGGGCCCTGGCACCGTCAACGCTTGATTCAGGATGAAAGGCCGGTCCCCAGGTGGTGTCGAGAGTTCTGGGGGTCCTGTGTTCTAGACGCTTCGCGTAACCCCACCAACTCAGCTTGCCGCTCCACCCGCGCAGTCAGCCGCTGCTGGATGAGTGGGCTGGCCGGCTCGCGGCGCGTTTGGCTGCTAATTAGGCCGCTGTCGTGACCCGTAGCGCTTCTGACTCTCTTAGCGCCTTCGCTAGCGGACGCGACGAAGAAAAGTAACCCAACCAGCTCTTGTCTCCCCAGGGTCGGCTCTTGTCTCTGGCGGCTCTCGCCGCCTCCATCGCAGGGGCGCAGCTTTCTTTTGCTGGTCCCCCGCCTCTTCCGCCTCTGGGCCGCCCTGGTCCCTTCTTCCTGTCCCCCCCGTGGTGGCGTTTCCGCCGCTCCCAGGCCCCTGCTCCGACCTTTGTCGGTGCTTGGCGATCCGGAGCCTACTCCGTTGAACGCCTGCATGTCGCTGTTCGTTGTTCTCTTCGGCTGCGTCACGGCGGTCTTTGAGTACGTGGACTTTTGGATTTTCGACATTTTGGCGCTGCACTTCGACCTGGTGCCTTTCCTGGTTCTCCGCGTTTTCTGAGCCGCAGCGTAGTTCGCTCTTGTGCGCTTTGTGCATAATCTAGGCCGTTGCATTGTTGCTTCGTTCTGACGGCGCGCGGCTGTGCCGCTTGCGTTCGCGACCAAAAAAGTAAACCCGCCAGTTTATCCAGGAACGATGCCCAGGGGAGTTGTCCTGATCAGGGATATGGAGGAACATGCAATGGAATAAAAGGCCAGAGAAGCCGTCGTACCCCAAGAAGGGAAGAATGGAGGAGACGGAAGAGGAGAAGGAGGAGGAGGAGGAGGAGGAGGAGGGAGAGGAGGAGGAGGACGAAAACGAAAACGAGAACGAGGGCGAGCAGAATGACCAAAGGCCTCTTGGATGCCTCTCGGAGTCTCTTCGGATGTCTCTTGGGAGCTTTTTGGGGTGCTCTCGGGGCGCCTTGGGGGCTCCAGGCGGCCCTGGGGGCCATTCGGAGCATTGTGGGTGCTTCGGGCAAGCCTCTTGGGGCCTTTTCGGGGTCTCTTGGGAGCCTCTTGGGGGCATCATCGGGGCCTCGCGGGGCCTCCCGGGCGCCTCTTGGGGCTACCTCGAGGCACCATTGTGGGCCCTGCGGGCGATCTTGGATGAGCTCGATGAAAGGAAAGGGGTCCCTACTTTGCGTCGCCCCCCCAGGAGGCCAACGTTGACCCAAATCGTAGGGGAATCATTGATTTTCGCCTTTTCGCCGAGGCCATCTTGGACGCTCTAATGGGTCGCGACCCCCCCGTCCAGGTTTGGGGGGGTAGGGGTAGGGATCAAGACTCAAGACCCTCTCCGCCCTCCCAACACAGAAGTATCACCCGAGCCTCAGTATGTTCAGCGGTCGTGTATGGATGGGCAACTACTGGGATCCAAAGCAGGCCCCATGTGCGCGACGCTGGGACGAGGCTCGGCACGCGTGCCAGGCGCGCCACGCGCGTCAGGTGCGCCAGGCACCTGTGGGTCCCAAGTGTGCCGCCACGCCTGGCGCGACGGAGGCGCCACGTGCTCCACGTGCGCCGCGTGTGCCGCATGCTCCAGCCGCGCCACCTGCGCCACGCTTGTGGCACGCGCAGAGTTCGTCGGTTCGGCGCGCAGTTTGGAGAGTGAGGCCCCTCTCTCTCGCTTCTGCCCTTTCTACTGTTGATCCTCCCCGCGGTTTCCCATTTGGCGGGGTGGAGACCGCCAGACTACGAGGAAGAGGTGTCGCACGGGGCTTCGGACAGTGCTGAGGCCGCGCTTGCAAGTAGGAGGTGTCCTGCCCCTGCTAACTATGGTCGTTCTTCAACTGATAGGGTCTTATATTTTCTGCCGCCCCTGTGCGGCTTTATAGGGTCACGAATGCGACCAAACTCCGACGGATGTGCTGCCGCAGAGGTTATTTCGATCTCTCCCGGCTGTGGCTTGAACGCTTCCTGGCGAGCTGTGACCCGCGTGCAAACGCTGTGGCCGGGACGGTGATGGTTCCCATTCTGGAGATATATATATATATATATGTACACATATATATATATATGTATATATGCATCATTTTGGATACATGCACGTGTGTATTCATTGCGTTGACATCGGTGGAGTTGCAGGGCATATGCCAGGGGGCCCCGCATTCCAATAGAACTCTTCCGAGCAGGGCAACATTTGTATTCACATTTTTTATGTTCCATCTTTCCGTTAATGTCGGTGCTATTCCTCCGACGAGTATGGCGTCACCTTCAATATTGATATCTCGTTGTTCAGAGTATCTTCGCCGGCCGCTGGTGTGACCTGGAAGGCAGTGCGTGTGTGCCCAAGTTCAGCACGGAGTTTGGGCCCCTTGATTTCACAGAGCGGAGTGTTGGCCACTCGAATTCAAAAAACGGCTTTTTGGCCATGTGAACTCACAAAGCGGTACTCGTGCCACCTTGCGACTTCACACCTCGGAGTGTTTAAGCATGGGCCGTCCAGACCGTGACGGCCTTTACTCTTGTCAGTATAAGCTGCATCCTCGAGCGAGCGGCGGCCGCCTCGTCGTCGTCGTCGTCGTCGTCGTCGTCGTCGTCGTCGTCGTCGTCGTCGCCGCCGCCCCCTCCGCCGCCGTCGTCGGTCGCGACGCTGCGGGGTATTCGTCGGTCGTCTGTCGTGTCGTTGCCGCCGTCGCCGTCTCGCCCGCCGCCGTCGCCGTTGTCCCTTGCGTTTTTTGCCGCTTGCCTGGACCTCGTGCCCACTGCGGGCGCGCGCGAGGTCCACGTAGACTCCGAGAGACCTCCTCCACCTCCTCCTCCTCCTCCTCCTCCTTCTCTCCTTTTCTCTCCTCTCCTCTTTTCTCCTCTCCTCTCCTCTCCTCTCCTCTCTTCTCCTCTCCTCTCCTCTCCTCTCCTCTCCTCTCCTCTCCTCTCCTCTCCTCTCCTCTCCTCTCCCCTCCTTCCTCCTCCTCCTCCTCCTCTTCACTCCTCCTCAAACTCCTTCTCCCCTGGGGTTTAGAAGGCCGCCTGTCCAGCACACCTGATGTCCTATCACCTGGCGGCGCGAGCAGGAAGGGTGGCGCGAGGGGGCGCAAACACATGGCGGCGCGAGCACGAAGGTCGACTAGACTTGTGGAGGACGATCAATGGAGAGGAAGCATGCTGCCAATACTTTCCACATGTCTAAGACACGTGTTAAACATGTTTTAACATGCAAAACATATGTTTAAAGCATGTTTAGAACATTGTTCCTACATTTTAAAAACATTTTGAGTTCAATGATAGGACTGTCCATTGTCACAAGGCTAGACGTAAGAGTGACCTTCCGCCAGAGTGACCTCTGCTGCGGGCCCACTATTGGTCCCCCGATCGCCGGACGCGGCGCGTGTAGTCGAGAAGGTGTCTGAGAAAGCGGGGCTGCCTTCATTGGGAAGGCCTGGACAACGACAACGACGACGACGACGACGACGACGACGACCTCGTCGGCCTCGTCGTCCTCCTCGTCCAAGTCGTCGTCCCGGTCTCGTTGTTGTGCTCCTTGTCCTCGTTCTTGTCCTCGTCCTCGTCGTTCTCGTCCTTGTCGTCCTCGTCCTCATCGTCGTCCTCGTCGTCCTCGTCCTCGTCGTCGTCCTCGTCGCCGTCCTCGTTCTCGTCTTTATTCTCGCTGTCGTCGTCGTTGTCGTCGTTGTCGTCGTCGTCGTCGTCGCCGCGCCGAGGAGCTGCTGGGCCCCGCGGAGGACCGTGAGGCCAGGAGCCGCACGCTGCAGGACGCGCTGAAGGCTCTGGCCGGCGGGTGGGCGTCTCCGGGTCGTGGCCTCGTACCGTCGAGGTCGACTGCACACTACAGTGGCTTGGCATTGCTTGGACGTGTGCATTTTTCCTTCGGCGAGGGCCATCGAGGAGCAGCTGTGATCATTTGGCGAAAAAACCACGCACGAAACCAACAAAAGCAGGGAATGGACGTCCGAGCGATGGCGAGGTGGGGGCGCGCATCAAGAAACCATCTGAGTTTCATCAGGGTACCCGGTGTACCCTGGGTTTCTTCGTTCCGCGCGCTGCGCGGTGACTTCCCGCGGCCGTCAAAGGAGCTGATCCATCCAGGATGCTCGGGTTTTTCCCTCAGGTGCACCTCGCGCGCGGGTTTCCAGGGTTGGGTTTCTTGCGAGGCTTTCTTGCGACAGCGCCCGCACTGTAGAGTCGGATCCAGGTTTTCGGGGTTGAGGTTTTCGGGCGTTTCCGCAGTTTCCTGGCGGTTTTCCAGCCTCGGGATGCGTTCCAGCGGCTGCGCCTCGCCGAGAGCGTTCTGGGGGTGCTGGGATCGTCCCGAACGGCCGCCGGAGACTCGAGGTTCTGACCCAAAAGCCAGATGCGGCGGCGGACCAAGGTCGGTTCGGGGAGGGTACCCTAGTGTTCTTCGTGTCTGTTCGATGCTCTTGTGCATCCTGGGGAGGGTGCCCTTGGACGTTCTGTCTATTCTGGCCGTTGTGTTTCCCCCTGCGCCGTTTCCCGACGGCCCCTGGAGCCCGGCGAGGGCCCCTGGAGGCCGAGCATTGCGAAAGGCCTGCGTCTTGCTTTGCGACAGAACGCGCGTCTTGATCTTGTCCAGTGCGTCGGACCTCGGGGTCAAACAGCGGCGCTCAGGCGCGAGCAGCGGCCGCGCGCGCTGCCGGGGACGCCGACCTGGCAGACCAGGGCGTGCGCCCCGCCTTCGCGGAGTACCGGCTCACGCCCGCCTCCGCGGACCCCCGCAGGCCGCTGGGGCCGGCACGGGGGCGCTCCTCGCCCGCTGGGGGCCTGGGGCCGGTGCGGCCGGAGCGGGCTGCGACGTTTGCCAGAGTCCGCTTGCCCCAAGCCCAGGCCCCCTGGAGTCATGAAAAAGTCACGGCGGGAGGTTTTTCATGACTTTCGGCCTCTGGGGGCCCTCACCGGGCCTCGGGAGCGTAACAAAACGAGTCAGGACAAAAAACTGGTCCTGGGGAGTGGGTCGAGACCTTTGGGGGCCGACGTCATGAAAAAATCATGAAGTCGGGGTCTGGGAAAGGGGGTCCAGCTGAAAGGTATTGGTGCAATAGATTTTGTACACTAGATCTGCGGGGTTGCAGGAGATGTGGGGCGTGCAATACATTCAGGTGCGCAAATGTATTGCTGTTTTTTCGCGTGCGGCACATTCGATACAATACGATGCAACACATTTCTCCGGCGCAATACATTTGCAATACAATCGCCCAACACTTATTGCACCACCCTTTTTCAGCTGGACCCTCTTGTTGGTCAACCAAACAGGTCGGGGGTTGCTCTGAAGTCGGCGGCGAGCGATGGGGACGGAGCGAGAAGGAGAAGGCCCTCTCAGAAGGTGGCGGGGCTTCTCAGAAGCGCTCCGGCCTTCTGAGAGGTTTCCTGTGCCTTCGGGGAAGGCTCAGCAAGCCTCTCAGAAGAAGCCCGGGGGACTTCTGAGCCTTCTCGGACGGCCTTCTCCTTCTCTCCTCCTCCTCCTCCTCCTCCTCCTCGTCCTCCTCCTCCTCCTCCTCCTCCCTCCTTCTTCTCCTCCTCCTCCTCCTCCTTCTCCTCCTCCTCCTCCTCGTCGTCGCCTCGTCGACGCGGTCCTGGTCAGAACCGTGTCGTTCCCCGCCCTCCGAAGGCCCGTCTCTGCTCCGTCTCGGCGCTGCTTCTCGAGCCTCCGCCTCTCGGGCTCGCGTCTCCAGGGCCCCGTGTAGGGGAACGAAATGACATAAACATAAAAACTCGGACCTCCGAGTTTTTATGTCTATGCCACTTTTTTTTCCCCTACTGTGGGCGAGCAGAAACGGCTGGCCCTCCAGGGCGCAAGGCTGCCCCCGGGGGGAGGGGGCCGGGAGCTGCAGGGGCCGCGGGCGAAGCGACGCACGCCGCCGCGAGCTCCGCCGACCTGAGGCAGCGTGTCGCCTACTGACAGCGGCCGCTGCCGCGTTTGGGCGGCATCTGCGTCTGGGCGCCGTCGGCCCGCACAGCAAGGGTGGGCAACCTTCCCAAGGGTACCCTGGCATCCCTGCCTCCTCGGTCCGTCCTTGTCCACGGTCGTTGGCCGCGCCCCGCTCGAAAGGCTTCGAAGTGGGCGTCCAAGGCCCTTGCATCCTTATCGCGCTTCCTTGTTATGCGGGTTGACTGTAACATGTAATTTTTTCCGTACCCATCGTGGGTGCGCTTATCGGAGCGCATGCAGCGAGGGCCAGCGCAAAGGGCAGGGCTGACCCCGGGTCTGGGAGCCACGTGGCGCCGCCTTCCCCCTCGGGATGCAATTCCTGGGAAGCCAGAGCCAGAATTCAGCACCAACGCTGGTGTATCCGTGGCCGGACACCGACCCAATCTGGCATGCAGTCGACCCGGATTGTAAGGATGGGCGACCTTCCCAGCCGTTGGATCCTTCCCTCCTCGGTCCATCTTCGGCCGCTTTCGTCGGCCGCGTCCCGCTCGAAAAGCTTCGAGGTGGCCGTCCAAGGCCCTTGCATCCTTATCGTGCGTCCTCATGATTTATGATTAGATCTTAGGCTTACGCCACACCGCCGAGCCCTTGGTTTTTCTTGGGGGCTTCCTGGGGGTCCCTGGGGCACGTTGGGGGCGTCTTGAAGCCGAAGGTTCGAAGTGTCCGTTCCAGCTTGGGAGCCCATGGGGCCGTCTTAGGGCGGTCTTGGAGGCATCTTGGAGGGTCTTCCGCGCTGTGAAGGCCGAGCCATCGTATATCGAAGCCGATTTGGGGGGCCCTTGGGTTCTCTTGGAGGCCTCTTGGAGGCCTCTGGGGAGCCTCTTGGGGCCTCTTGGGGGCCTTTTGGGGGCGTGTGGGCGCCTTCTTGGAGCCTCTTGTGGCCTCCTGGGAGCCTCTAGGGGCGGACGGCTGGAATGTTCGTTTCGTGGTCCTCCTTTCGGGCCCCTCCTTGGGGCCGTCTTGGAACCCTTGTGGGTCGTTTTGGGCGCCTCTTTTGCCGTGTTGGGGGCTTCTTGGGAGCCTGTGGGGCCGTCTTAGGGCGGTCTTGGAGGCATCTTGGAAGGGCTTCCGCGTTGTGAAGGCGGAAACATCGAATGTCCTAGAAATGTAAGTTCCCCGAGGGAATTTGACGATTATGGCCTCTTGGAGGCCTCTTGGGAAGCCTCTTGGAACGTCTTGGCGGCCTCTTGGGCTGTCTTCGGCCCATGTTAGGCGTCTTGGGACGATCTTTCGGCCCATGTTAGGCGTTTTGGAACGATCTTTCGGCGTCTCGGGGCCCTCTTGGACCGTCTTGGGGGCCTCTTAGGCGGCCCCAGAAGATGTCGTGGACCTCCAAAAAGAGCCCGGGGAGGGCCGGACCCCCCTGATGAGCTTTGGCTGGACGGCCCCCCCCCTCCAAATCGACCGGGCCAGGCTCCTGGGGGAGGGGTTCGGGGACGGGGAAGCATCTCACACGCGGATGATCCCCAAGGGGTCGGCGTCCTCATGATTCATGATACGGTTTTGCTGTAGTCCTGCTTAATCCATGTTGTTCCAGCTGAATCCAAGGTTTAGTCTGGACTTTTGTGGCCTAGTGGCCCCGCAGTCGGGTTTGCATTCCCGCTCTAGTCGTTCTCGCGAAGGCCTACCAGGAGTTGCCTCCCAACCTTCCCTCCCTCCTGCTTCGTGGGAGCTTGTTCGGGAGATGGCTTGGGCCAGGCAGGGGTCGCGACACTCGGCCGGGCCCCCACGCGGTGCGGTGACCAGGCCGCGTGGTGAGTCCGTGGGGATTCGGGGTCACCGTGTGGTTTTTGGACCCGGGTCGTTCTCCGAGGACGTCTCGGGCAATTGAGGCCTCCAGGGTCCCAATTCCGTGCGGTGCCGGACCGCGTGGGGAGGCGGGAGATTCTGAGGTCACCGCGCCGTCCGTCACCGAGCGGTGTTCGGGCCCCCGAAAGTACGGCCCTGGCCGACCTGGGTCAGCGCTGACCTTCAAGCAGTGGCGAAGCGTCCTGGCTCGCCTATAGGCCCACCGAAGAATGTTCCAAGAACTGGTTGTGGTCTGCACGACATGTTCTCAGAACACTCCTGGCCGAGGCTGTCTTGTTTCAACGCTGCGGGCTTGTCTTCTCGGAACATGGTTTTTGTTGTTGGAACACTTTTATGGGTTCTGAGGGCATCTCTCAGGAGGGAAAAAAAAACACAGACACAATTAATCGTCGACCTCCAGGAAAATGTGCAAAAATAGGGGAAGTGGGGGGGAAGACCCCCCCCCCAAATATGGGAAAATATGGGGAATCTGTTTATTTGTGTGTATTTTTTTGTGTGTCCTGGGGCCCCTTCAATCTCGTGATAGGCCTATCGGAATGCTGCGACGGTCGGTCCCCGCTCAAGTCCCGGGTCGGCGCCTCGGGCCGGGGGCCCCCCCCTCGCGGGGTGCTGCGCGTTCGCGCGCGCGCCTCCTCGTCCCGAGGGGGGCGGCGGCTCGGCTCACGGCGGGACGGGAGCAGCCTGGGGGACAGCAGGGGCTGCGCACGGTCCGACCCCAGGAGGCGCTTTTTGAACCCCTTGGTGTTGGTGTGTATATTCATGTATGTATGTATGTATGTATGCATGTATGTATGTATGTATGTATGTATGTATGTATGTATGTATGTATGGATGTCTGTATGTATGTATGTATGTATGTATGTATGTGTGTGTGTATATCTGTCTGTCTGTCTGTCTGTCTGTCTGTCTGTCTGTCTGTCTGTCTATGTGTATGTCTGTATGCATGTATGTATACATGTATGTATGTATGTATGTATGTAATGTAGTGTAGTGTAATGTAATGTAATGTAATATAATGTAACGTCATGTAATGTACTGTAATGTAATGTAATGTAATGTAATGTAAAGTAATGTAATGTAATGTAATGTAATGTAATGGCATGTAATGTCATGTAATGTAATGTAATGTAATGTAATGTCATGTCATGTAATGTAATGTAATGTAATGTAATGTAATGTAATGTAATGTAATGTAATGTAATGTAATGTAGTGTAGTGTAGTGTAGCGTAGTGTAATGTAGTGTAGTGTAGTGTAATGTAATGTAATGTAATGTAATGTAATGTAATGTAATGTAATGTAATGTAATGTAATGTAATGTAATGTAATGTAATGTAATGTAATGTAATGTAATGTAATGTAATGTATGTGTACATATACATATCCCAACCATCCTCGGGTGTGGGGTCCTCGCTTTGGAGAGACGGCCCTCGGGTTCTCCTCTCCTGTCCTCCTCCTCCCGGATCCTACGCCTCCTCCCATTCCTCTCGATGTTGGGGCAGGGCGGGAGGGGGCTGGTCACCACGATTCGCGCCAGCGCAGTCAGGGAATGCACAATGCACAGGAATTGCTCATTTCTAGACGGCGCCAGCGCGAATCGCGACGTGACCAAGGGGGGGGGGGTAGAAGAAACGTCGTTCCCTGGTGGAAGGGTTCGTTCCCTGCTGAACGATTCGTTCCCCGCTGGCCATTTTCTACAAAAGAGGAGCGGTTCGCTCCCCCGTAGAGCCCCTGTTGTCCTTGAATCTTTCAAGAAAAGTGAAAACCGCCTCTGAGAGGCATTGGAAGGGCGCGTCTCAGAGATCAGAGCCTCTGATGAGAGCCTCTGAGAGGCCTCTGGAGGCTTCTGAAGGGCCTCTGGAGAGCTTCGAAGGACCCCTGAAGAGCCTTCGAAGAGCCTCTGAAGAGCCTTTGAAGAGCGTTTGAACAGCTCCTGAAGAGCTTTGGACAGCCTTCGATAGCCTCTGTAGAGCAATCTGGAGCCT